TACGCAAATTGAATTAATTGCTCTGCTGACATGAATAAAGTTTCTAGAGGATTGCTAATTAGATGCCCAAATATAACCAGTCAACTGCAATGCCTGTTACTTTAGTTTTGGTCTTTTGATTGATTAATAAAATTCAAGTTTTGGAGTTTTCTCCAACTGGTTTGTTATAGGATGAAAATAAAAATTGCGATTGCCATTGTAGTTGGGCATTACGGCAACCTATGCGCGGCGGAGCGCTCGACGAGTTCTTATCATTTTTATTTTATTTTTTGATAAAACAAAAATAAATGAATAAATAAAATAAAAGGAACAATGGCATTTCAAATCTTAGTACTGAAGTTTATTTCACATTACTATTTTTTTCTAAATAGATTAATTCAATCAGCATGTTACCAAAGTAACCACTCTATTAATTTATTTGGAATATTAGGAAGGTCATATGTACATAATTTATGCGGATATTCATTGGCACAAAGGAATATTAGGAAGGTCGTGTGTACGTAAATTATGGATAAAGAATGGGTGTGTCTTAACAGGCAATTTATACTTTGTCATGTAATTTATATACTTTATATTTTAAGATAATATCTTAGAACATTGTCTTTTAAAATTGTTAAGGCCTCACAAGAGTACATAAAAGCTTCGAAAATGTTTGTCATTACTGCTCATCATAATTTAGGCAGACCAGATAAAATTTTATGTACTTGTAAAGGTTGTCGAAACTTAAGCCATCAATATGTAATATCGTTCACGAGCATCTAGTCATAAGAGGAATGGATCCGACTTACACAAATTGGTTTCAACATGGAGAAAGATTAATTAGTAATATTGATATTACAAATAAGACGAAAATATTCAACTTGTTTGAAGCTGCACATACGAATGAAGAACATAACAAGGAAGTTTTTGAAGAGAATTTGGATGATGACATTAGTCGATTGGTGAAGGATGCTAAAACTCCGTTGTATCCTGAAAATGAAAAATACACAAACCTATCTTCAATTGTGACCTTTAGATAAGCTTAAAACTATTAGTAGTTGGTCAGATAATAGCTTTACAGTACTTCTAAACACATTACATGATATGTTACCTGAAGGTAATGTAATTCCTACATCGACAATATGCGTAAGAAAATTTCTAAAGACATTTGATTTAGGCTATGAGAAGATTCATGCATGTGTTAATAATTGATGTTTGTTTAGAAACGATAAAAAAGAATTAGATAGCTATCCAAAATGTGATTCTTCGAGATGGAAGGTCAATAAGCATACACAAAAGCGTAAAAATGGTGTACCTGCTAAAGTCTTAAGATACTTTCCTATAAAACCTAGATTCCAAAGGATGTTTAGTAAACTGAAGATGGCTGAATCATTAATATGGCATTCAACCAATTAGAGTGTTGATGGTGAAATGTGTCATCCAGTAGATTCTCCATCTTGGGCTTTAATTGACAACAAGTGGCCAGAGTTTGCAAATAATCCACGCAATCTTAGGCTTGGGCTTGCTACAGATGGTTTCAATCCATTCAACAATTTTAGCTCTACATATAGTTGTTGGCCAGTGATGTTGGTCATTTATAATCTACCACAATGGTTATGTATGAAAAAAGAAAATATCATGTTGTCATTGTTAATTCCAGGGCCTAAACAGCCTCGGAATGATATTGATATATATTTGCAACCACTTGTAGATGACTTGAACGAATTGTGGAATATTGGGATGAATATGTATGATGCACACACTAATGCAGTTTTCAACTTGAGAGCAATACTTATGTGGACTATTAATGATTTACCAGCTCTTGGAAATTTAGCTGGATGTAAAATTAAAGGTAGGACAAGTTGCCCTATATGTTCTGAGAATAGTCACTCACAGCGGTTAAAATTTAGTAGAAAATTTACATACATAGGTCATAGGAGATTTTGTCACCATATCATCCGTTAAGGAAAAATAAATCTTGGTTTGATGGACATGAAGAAAAGGAAACCAAACCTAAAATTATGTCTGGTAGCAACATTCTGGTTACTCTTAAAGATTATGTCAACAATTTTGGGAAAGCTCGGAAACGAAAAAGAAAGACAGATAATGGGAGCATGCTAACATGGAAAAAGAGATCAATCTTTTTAACTTACCATATTGGGAGGTAAGATTTTCGCATTCTCCAACTCTTATTCAACTTCTTTCAATTATTTGAATATACTTTTTTTATGAAACTAACAAAATCTTTTTGCTTTGTTACATTATTAGGTGCTACCATGACGTCATAAATTTGGATGTAATGCACATTAAGAAAAATGTATGTGAAAGCATTATTGGTAAATTTTAGACATAAATGATAAACAAAAGATGGATTAAATGCTCGTAAGGATTTACAAGACATGGAAATTAGGAAGGAGTTACATCTAGAGGAACGAGGTAATAGAATATACCTTCCTCCTGTTCCACATACGTTGTCAAGGTTAGAGAAACAAACATTTTGTAAGAGGTTGTTTAACTTGAAATTACCTAATGGGTACAGTTCAAATGTAGCCACTTGTATATCAGTAGATGAATGCAAAATTATTGGCCTCAAGTCACATGATTGTCATGTCCTCATGCAACAACTTTTGGCTGTATCATTAAGAGGATTACTTACAAAAGGACCAAGACATGCAATTTTAGACTATGAACATTCTTCAATAGATTATGCCAACATATTGTTGATAGAGAGAAAATAGCAATATTAGAAGACGAAGTACTTGAAACCTTATGCAGTCTTGAAAGATTATTTCCTCTTGCATTTTTGATATCATGATACATTTGGTGGTACATTTGGGAAGAGAAGTACGATTATGTGGTCCAGTTCACTATCGCTGGATGTATCCTTTTGAGAGGTGAGAAATTCACAATTACTTGGATAAATTTACACATAATTTCATTCTTAGTACTAATTTGTTTACTTTGTTTACTTGTAGATATATGAAGATATTCAAAGGACATGTGAGAAATCGCGCACGGCCTAGAGGTTGCATAACTAAATGTTATCTTGCAGATGAGTGCATGAAATTTTGTACCGAGTTTATGAAACAAGTAAGAGAAATTGATCATCGAGAGGGGCGCAACGAAGATTATGTTAGCAATGAAATTACTAAGGGATGTCCCATTTCTGCTCCAAATTTTATTACACTAAGTAATGAAATGTTAGAGATAGCACATCGTTATGTATTATTCAATACATCTTATGTGGAACCTTATTTGGAATAAGTCATCCACTTTTTATATCAATAAGTACAGAACGTGTATATAAATTTGTAATCTCGGATAACTTGCTTATTATTAGAATGCATAAAGAGGAGCTAAAGCGAAACAATAGAAGCCTTGAAAAAAACGAAAGCTTGCTTTAGAAAATTCACATGGAGAAATTTTTAGTGTGGTTAAAGGAGAAGGTTGTACATAATGTTGATAAATTATTATTTTCTCATTATAATCATATATAATTACATCACTGATACATGTCTAACTTTTTTCACAAATTGAAGTAGGTTCTACCATAAGTAATGAATAAGATGTTCTGAAATGGTTGGCACATGGTCCTAAAATGCAAGCAGTCTCCTACACTAGAGAGATTAGCAAAGGACAACGTTTCCACATAAAAGACGTTGAGAAATCTACACAGAATAGTGGTGTATCAATTGAAGTGATAATCATGTGCAGAGCTAGTGCAAAGGATAATGCACAAGTTTCTGATGTTGTTGAATTTTATGGAGTTGTTCGAGAAATAATTTCATTAGATCACCACATAATGAAGATTCTACTCGTTAAGTGTCACTGGGCAAATGTTCATAACGGTGTTAAAGTGGATGATTGCTTTACACTTGTTAATTTACACCAAGGTCAAAATAATTTTCTAAAAAATCATTTTATTTTAGCATCACAGATCAAACAAGTGTTTTATTCAAGAGAAAATGATTCCTCTAATTGGTACATGCTTTTGAAAGTACCACCTCGAGGATTTCATGATTTAGAAATGTATGATGAGAATGAGGAAGTCAATGTTAGAAATAGTATTTCATTGAACATTGATGATGTGAATGAGGAAATTAGCTATGTAAGAGGGGACTACGATGGTACTTTAATTTGATGATTGTAAATTTTAGTTCAAAAATAAAAAGATCCTTTTGTAGTTAGTTTTGTTTGTGTTTTCTTGTGTTGCCTTGAAGCATTTTAATCTTAATATTATAGTTTTGCTTGTATTTTTTTTGTTGGCTTGCAATGATGAGTTTTATTTATTCATTTTTTTATGTCATTTTTTGAAATGCTGACATAGAATGCTAATCATGATTTTTATATTTTTTTAAATAGGTTGGATATCATGGTGAATATCAGAAAGAAGGTTGTGATGATTCAAAAGCTCCACGTAAAAAGAGATCAGTAGAAAAACTACGCGTGGACAACTTAAAGTAGCCAACACATTTCAACAACATTTTAACTCTCTAGATGCTTCTACTAGGTCTTTCTGCAGCATGAATCTGCATAAGGATCTAATGAAAAAAATATTATTCACTTGTTGATTTACACAAAAACTATGCAAAGAGGTACATCACTAACACATTTACAGATGAGGCATCACATGAGGTTACCCCAGAAGATGATGTAGACATGAGTTGTAATGAAAACCAAGGAAGACATGTGGAAGATACGTCTCTATTACAACAAAATGTTACAACTTCTGAAGGAGAGACTCAACAAGTTCAAAAGAAGAAGAGAGGTCCTACCCAAATGAAGAATTTGAACGAAGTCATTGCTCCAATTGAAGTAAAGTTTAATGAAATGGGACAATCTCTATCTGTCACTTTATCTTCCTTTCTAGGCCGTCTTGTAAGGGAGACTATATCGTATACTCTCGTTGACTGGCAATATCTTTCAAAAGCTATGAAACTTGTTATGTGGAAAGATATTCAGGTATCTCCTTCTAAATAATTTGATGTTATATAATACAACGTAATAAATATTTGATATTTTATAAAATTGAAAATTTATAACATGCAGCAAAGGTTCAAAGTAGATCAAAATGGCAACAAGACTACATTTTTAAAGAAATGGGTGGTCTCTGGAGACCGTCAAAGTCTCGACTTGTGAAAAATATTAGAGAAGCACCAAATGAAGCAGAAAGAACGAAACTCAAACCTAATTACATAATTAAAACCCCAGCAATTGAAAAAGTTTGTGAAGGAAAAGACGAGTACAGAATTTATGGTATCATTTTGAAAATTTCATAAAATGGACCGCCATTTATAGTGAATTTTGGAATAAGATTTTTTGTGGTAGTATCGTATAATTTCCAAAGTATATTTATTGCGTGTTTATCTCGAGCAACATAACATGAAAAATTTACAAGCCATGCAATGTAGTGTCGAAGACAAACATGGCTTCTTCCATTCAATATAAATGAGTAATTTTGAAAATTTCATCAAATGGGCTGCCATTTACAGTGAATTTTGGAATTAAGACCTTCTTGTTGTAGTCTCGTAAAAACTCTTAAGTATATTTTATTGCGTGTTTATCTGGAGTAACCTAACATGAAAAATTTATAGGCCATGCAATGTAGTGTCAAAGGCAAACATGGCTTCTTCTATTCAATAGAAATGAGTCATTTCGAAAATTTCATCAAACGGGTCGCCATTTACAATGAATTTTCGAATTAAGACCTTTTAGTGGTAGTCTCGTAAAATTTCTAAAGTATATTTATTTTGTATTTATCTCGAGCAACCTCACATGAAAAATTTACAAGCCATGCAATGTAGTGTCGAAGGCAAACAAGATTTCTTCTATTCAAAAAAATGAGTCATTTTGATAATTTCATCAAATGGGCCGCCATTTATAGTGAATTTTGGAAATAAGACCTTTTGTGGTAGCATCGTAAAATTTCTGAAGTATATTTATTGCATTTTCTTTCTCGAGCAACCTAACATGAAAAATTTACAAGCCATGCAATGTAGTATTGAAGGCAAGCATGACTTCTTCTATTCAATAGAATTGAGTCATATTGAAAAGGGAAAAAAATCATAATTCAGTGATTTAGTTTACACCAAATCACAAGTCAGATGTATAATTTGAAATTGCAAAACTCAAGTATGAGGTAATTAATTAAAAAAATTATTAATTAAACATAATAAGGTCACATTTATACAATTAATGATCACATGTACATAATTACAGGTCACATATTATCAAATTGATTGGTCACGTGTTATTTCGAGGGTCACAAATCAAGAAAATAAGGGTCACAGTTTATCTATTGTCACATATTTTCAAATTTATTGGTCACGGATTAATTTTTTTAGTCACAAATTATCGAATTTTAAGGTCATATTTTAATAGTTAGTCACAAATAACCAAATAATTGGTCATATACACCCAAACACCAAATCCCAATTCTCATCCAACACCAATACTTGGTCACAAATTGACCAAATAGTTGGTCACAGACACTTTTCGTTCCATCCCGTCGCTATGCCACCACCGTCACCACCAGCAATAACAATAACACACTACCACTGCAACCAATATCACCACCTCATCACTATCACGACGACCACCACCACCCAGATCTAAACATACATAACCACCACTACCCATTGACAGGCACCAATGATGCACTGTAGCTCCGAATGAACCACAACTTCGAGTAGTCAATTTTACTGCTGCTGAGGTAGTGTGTCGCTCAGAGGAGATCGCAATGAGCTGCACTCGCTGCTCGACAGTAATGGCCATGTGGGAGAGACATTAGAGAGATAGAGAGAAAGGGAAAAAGATGGGAAGAGAGAGAAAACAATTTAGGGTTTTAATTAGGTAGGGAGAGTATATGTATTTACCTGATGTTTGAATAAGTAAATTTTAAACCTCATTTTTTAAATTCAATCTTTAAATACCTATATGTATGCAATTTCCTCTTTTGAAAATTTCATGAACTGGGCCGCCATTTATAGTGAATTTTGGAATCAAGACTTTTTGTGGTAGTCTTGTAAAATTTCTAAAGTATATTTATTGCGTGTTTATCTCGAGCAACCTAACATGAAAAATTTACAAGTCATGCAATGTAGTGTTGAAGACAAACATGACTTCATCTTTTCAATAGAAATGAGTCATTTCGAAAATTTCATCAAATGGGTTGCCATTTATAGTGAACTTTGGAATTAAGACCTTTTTGCGGTAGTCTAGTAAAATTTCAAAATTATATATATTGCGTGTTTATCGCGAACAACCTAACATGAGAAATTTACAAGCCAGGCAACATAGTGTCGAAGGCAAACACGACTTCTTCTATTCAATAGAAATGAGTCATTTTGCGAATTTCATCAAAATGGGCCGCCATTTATAGTGAATTTTGGAATTAAGACCTTTTTGGTGGTGGTATCATAAAATTTCTAAAGTATATTTATTGCGTATTTATCTCAACCAACCAAACATGAAAAATTTACAAACGATGCAATGTAGCGTTGAAGGCAAACACGACTTCTTCTATTCAATAGAAATGAGTCATTTTCAAAGTTTCATCAAATGGGCCGCCATTTATGGTGAAATTTGGAATTAACACCTTTTTTTTGGTAGTTCCGTAAAATTTCTAAAGTATATTTACTGCGTGTTTATCTTGAGCAACCTAACATGAAAAATTTACAAGCCACGCAATGTAGTGTCGAAGGCAAACATGGCTTCTTCTATTCAATAGAAATGAGTCATTTAGAAAATTTCATCAAACGGGTCGCCATTTACAGTGAATTTTGGAATTAAGACCTTTTAGTGGTAGTCTCGTAAAATTTCTAAAGTATATTTATTTTGTGTTTATCTCGAGCAACCTCGCATGAAAAATTTACAAGCCATGCAATGTAGTGTCGAAGGCAACAAACTTCTTCCATTCAAAAGAAATGAGTCCTTTTGACAATTTCATCAAATGGCCGCCATTTATAGTTAAATTTGGAATTAAGACCTTTTAGTGGTAGTCTCGTAAATTTCTAAAGTATATTTATCGTGAGCAAACTAACATAAAAAATTTACAAGCAATGCAATGTAGCGTCGAAGGCAAACATGACTTCTTCTATTCAATTGAAATGAGCCATTTTGAAAAGGGAAAATTCATCTCCAAGAGATTAAGTATGGTCCATTTCAAAATTAAGAAATAAGGTTTCAAATTTCAAAAATCAAAATTTAATTAACTTTTATTTATGAAATAATTTATTAAAAATATAATTTATTAATTCAATGTATTAAAGTCACAATTCTAT